ACCCCGAAGATGACCACTCTTCGGGTACTGCTGCACGTTGCTGCTCACCGTGACTACGAGCTGCACTCTCTTGACTTCAGCACAGCTTTCTTGCAGGGCAGCCTGCACGAGGAGATCTGGCTGCGTCGCCCACCTGGCTTCACTGGGTCTTTCCCTCCTGGTACCCAGTGGAGTCTCCGGCGTCCAGTCTACGGTCTCCGCCAGGCGCCACGTGAGTGGCACGACACACTGAGGACTACGCTTGCGGCTCTTGGGTTTGCTCCTTCTACTGCCGACCCGTCGCTGTTTCTACGCACCGACACCTCTCTGCCGCCGTTCTACATCCTCGTGTACGTCGACGACTTGGTCTTTGCCACAGCTGACACTGCTGGACTCGCCTACGTGAAGTCCGAGCTGCAGAAGAGACACACGTCGGGCATGGGGCTAGTGCTTGGAGGGCGGAGTCCAGTGGTCCTCACTGGGCACGCGGACGCTTCTTGGGCTGACGACCAGGCTACGCAGCGGTCGTCACAGGGTTACACCTTCAGCCTTGGTTCCGGCTCTGTTTCGTGGCGGGCTACTCGCTCGTCTTCTGTTCTTGGCTCGAGTTGTGAGGCTGAGATCTACGCCGGGGCCATGGCTGCACAGGAGCTTCGCTGGCTCACCTACCTGCTGACCGACCTTGGAGAGCCGCCTCGTTCTCCTCCAGTCCTGTACGTAGACAACAAGGCCATGCTGGCCTTGTGTCGAGAGCAGCGACTGGAGCACAGAACAAAGCACATTGCTCTCCGCTACTTCCTTGCTCGTGAGCTACAGCAACGTGGACAGTTGCGGCTTGCGTACGTGGCCTCTGAGGCCAACACTGCTGATGTCTTCACCAAGGCACTTCCGCCTTGTGATCATCAGCGCTTCTGCACTCAGCTGGGTCTTGTGCCCGTCTTGCCTCACTTGCTCTCCTCTTGACCTTGCTTGTACTCTCACATATATATATACCTGCTCTTGCTTGTCTAGCTTTATATATATGTGTGTACTCTTGCATGTGAACTGGCAGTGTGGCCTTGACCCTGTGCTCGGACTGTGTGGTGACTTTGTGATCCACCCTGAGCTTTCCTTTGCTTTGCTTTGCTTGACTGGTCTTGTGACCCCTTGTTCTCCCCCACTTTGCCTATGGGGGTGTGTCAGAACATTGTAGCTTATGCTGTAATGTAGGCTATAGTGGGGTATCCCATAGGGGGTACAACCAATTAGGGTTTCATATTTGTACTCACTTCATTTCATAGTTCATTCATTCTCGTTCTCATTATCACAGTCCTCGCAATAAAGTCACGGCGCAACGGATTTTCGCTGCATCCGATGAGAAGTAGTTCGCGTCGAAGTAAACATTCATCGTGAAGATCCACGCCTGAACCGTCATACCACCCCTTTGACTCGGATCGAATCAAGGCAGGCGCTACGGCTTGAGCGACATTGGTGAAGGGAGTGCGGACTCATCGATGGGCGTCAAAAGATTGAGCGACGTTGACTCCCTGCCGCTTTGTCGTCCCGGGTGTGTGTCATCCCGTGGTCGTCGCGAACGTCGTCGCATGCGAGAGAGCACGATGACATATGCTCATGGTACGCTACGGGGCGTGAGTCCATTGGAGTGAAAAATCAATGGGCTCGTAGCATAGTAGTGGCTGCACGCGCTCGTGAGAGAGCACGATGACATGTGCTCATAGTACGCTCAAGGGTTTCTACCGGTTGCGGAAATGTGCGGTCTGAAAAGGAAAATGGTCCAAGTGCTACGAGTGCAATGTAGCGAGTTAGCGAGGATTGCTCTAAATTGTCAACGAGTACAAAGTATGAGCCAATAATTATAAGCGAAACAGCTAGTTAGTGCGATGCTAGCAGCGAGGTTCATGCTAACCCCGAAACGTAGACTGACCCGGGTTAGGCAAGCGATGCAAGGTTTGAAAAATGCATCATGCGACGGCGAAGGCGGCGAAAGCTCCGTTAGGTGTAACGGGTGAAGAACGGTTGGCCTTGTACGCGATGTTGAGCTGCGCAGTGTGGAATGCCAAAAAAGTCCATACACTGTATTTTAAGGCCATGTGTCTTGATTGTGTAGAGATGTACATGAAGTGCAGCTATGATCTATCCTTGGTGGACGAGATTCCTAACAAGGAAAATTACCCTACGACACTGCATTCGTGCTGCAGCGTCGGTTTTGATTGGATTTCGTTTTGCCTTATGCTGATTGATGCTGGGCTGGTGAACAAGACATTATTGACATGCTGGAAATCCGGAGTGGTACGTGGAAGCATCAACCTCATTGGTTGTCAGCTGGATTCACGTGATGCCTGAGTATTCACGCAGCTACTTTTTGTCAAGTGTTGGCAGAATCTGACCGCGAAATCGTCCTGTTCGCGGGAACTGACATAAATCACCTGTAATGGGGCAGTGTGGGCAGGTCTGGAGGGCAGAATGCAGGCATCGCGGCTCACGCCAGGAGGGACAAACGGACCCGGCGAAATGACGCAGATCGGCGGAAATCGCGTCTCTCTTAACTGCATCAACCCAAATTAACGCGACCTTGCCACGTCGGCGTTTCTCTCAATTGGATGGACCGATTTTGCGCGCGCCCCCCCAAACCGAATTTTCCGCCCTTCCAGTCCGAAATTCGGGCAACCGCTTGGAATCTCGTGGAATCACAAACACTCACGAATACATGCTCTCCACATTATGCCAAATCCTCCAGGTAGTTGTGGCAAGCCACATCAGCTTTCGCGATCGACTTTTGAAAATTTCGGCGGCTGCATCTCAACTTGAAGATGCTTCTATGCACGTTGATTGTATCGTGTTTTTTAGGATCAGCCCATGCGCGCAGAAAAACACATGACAAATAAACTATAAGTCAATATATCTATATTAACCTTTTCCCATGAAACGTCTAAATTAGGATATAATAATAGTCGCTTCTAGGCAAATTAAAACTAGCTGTTTTGAAATTAGGTAGAGATTTTGTTTTAATATAATCATTTATATTATTCAGAATAGAAATACTATCCTGCGATTACAAATATTAATGGAGTGGCATACAGTTATTAAAACCCGTATTAATAATAGTGCACGTCATTCAACATTGAAAAAATAAAACGCAATGCTTGCGTCTCATTTTGCCGCGCGAATCAATTCACCGGTGTTCTGTCCATTCAGATGTCGCTCGCATGTTGAAATCTTAGCTTTACGAAAAGGCATCTATTTGTGACTGTTTGTGTATCCACGAGATTCCAGCGGGTGCCCATACTTCGGACGGGAAGGACGGGACTATCGGGATGGGGGGGGCGGCGGGGGAAAAGGCGGTCCAACCAATCGAGAAAAATGCCCACGTGGCGAGCTCGGAGTAATTCAGCTCGACGCAATTGAGAGAAACGCAATATCCGCCGATGCGCGTCATTTCGCCAACGGACCCTCTCCGCATCGGGGTCCGTCCACCTTGGAATACAAGGTTGCATTTCAAGAAAACGTCTGTTATGAAGGTTATTCCACATCGTCCCCCGTTTGAGAAGGAAGTGCCTTGGAGTTTTTTTTTTTTTTTTTGATACGGAAAAGTACGTTAAAAGGAAAATGTACGAAAACGCATCAGTCAGTCGTAAGTGCCTTGGAGTAGGCAACCGGTAGATATGTGAGATGCAGTAGCCTGTGTGGTATTTTTTTCGGTACGAAGAATTTCCAGTTGGGAAAACATCTATGTTTGGATGGTGTTGTACGCTACGAAAAACATACTCGATGATAGGGATGGGGCAGAAAGAGAATCGCGTTGCTTTTTCATATCAAAACTGCTCACTCCTGGAAAATAGAGGGCGAAATCGTCATGAACCTGACCGTTGATTTGAGGGGCATTTGTTTGTTCGCTATTGACTTGGTTGGTGAAGAGCACATAATCTCAAAACACCCACACCAAATCTCCCAATCCTCACCCAGTTTGCGTGAACTTAGAGTTGGTACCGTACATGTACAGTTTTGAATCTTGGACAACAATATGCCTTTGAATTTTCCAGTAATGAGATGAAGTACCTACCGTTTTGCCCGAGTTTGTTGAGATCCTGGCACCGTACCCGTGACCCGTGTGCCCCTTTCCACGTTGGAGAAACGGAGTTTGGTCCTCATCGTCGGGACTTGGAGCCGATATGAGGTGTAATGACGTGGATCCCTCATGCTTCGCGCGCCTCGGGTCGTTCAACTCAACCAGTCAACTTCCAGGTTTTCCGCCAAGCTGCTGGAGTTCCGCATTTCGCCAACCTGGTGTTCCGCGAAAGTCCTCTCTGTCCAAAATCTTCCGCAGACGTGTTCAAAGTCGGAGCACCCAAACCCCACCGGGTGCTTTCACCTGGCGGGGTGCTCGTGCTCCCCCCTTTGATGCACGGTGCGCGCTTCCGGGGCGCGCACCCCATTTTCACCGCACCCCGCCGACTACACCGGCTTGCGCGCGGCTGGGCCGAATCCTCCGCCAATTCTGCCTGGCGGTGCGCTTTTTCGTCAGGTTCAAGATCCTCTCCAAGCTGATTCAAGCTGCCATTGGCAGCAAATTCGACGCGCGAAGCTTGCCATTCAGTCACGAGATTTATTTCCCCAAACTCCCACTTGGTCTTTCCGTTCTGCTCTGCCCCCCCACACGCACTTGGCCTGCAACCTTTGCTGCAATTCCTCCCTCCCACAGTTACCCCAAATCGCTCAGCCCTCACCACCACCCCTGTCTAAGTTCCTTCCGCACCATCGCTTCCAAGATCTTGCCCAGTGGTCTTTAGACTTGTTCTCCACTGTGGGGGCAATAACTTACAGTAGGGAGTAATAGATTACGTAGGTAGGTCTCACTTTTAAGTAGAATGGAGGCTGCGACTCCGCTAGTCAACCGTCTGCCTAGGCATTTTAGCAAGCCTTGCAGATTCACGTATTCTGCTGATAACAGCATCACCGTCCAAGCTATCTCATCGACGCGCCTTCCGAGACACGTCTTTGTGGAATCCGCTCGTCTAGAACAAATGGCGCCAGCTCTCGGCTACTCCACTCGCACCCCCGTTGCGCTTCCAGCGTCCCCCTCCGCATCTGCGACGTCGTCGCTGGGTCGCATCGCGAGCCGTGCGTCGCTTTTCGTCGTAACGCCCACTGCCGCCGCGGAAGCCTTCGACCTTTCTCGTCCGTCCGTTTTGCTCGGAGCCGGCGCTGCCGACTGCTGCCAACCTCTTCCTCTCGACTGCGACTACAGCGGCGCCAGCAGCGCGGCCGGCGTGGAAATGCAGGAGGGCAGCGGTTCGAACTTCGACGAGTCCGATATGTTCAGCGACATTCCCGCCGAACCGCAGCGCTTCGCGGGAAAACCGTGTGAAGAATCGACGCAATCCAACGTGCGCGGAACGAAGAGGGCTGCGGACGGGCCACTGGAGCGGAGAGTCCGCGGAAAGGCAGAAGCGTTCAGCGCAACGAGCGCGGATTGCCGCGGCGCGCCTAATGCCATCTCACCCTCGTCAAGCCTCCCTTGGTGGGTGCTCGAGGCGCTCGGGGAAGAACACGAGGGCGAAGGAGAGGTGGACGGTTGTCCGCCAGCTTCAGCTTCCCCCGCGGACTCTGCCTGCTCCGCCGCTGCAGGCAATCACCCGCGCGGCAGTAGGATTGGCGGAGGCCTGGAGGAGACTGACTGCACGCTTTCGAGGGAGTTTGCTTGCGGTGAAGATATATTTTTCTCGGAAGATGCGCAGTCTTTAGCTACCGTGGTTCCTCCTAGTTCTGTAAGCGGAGCTGGTGCCTGCTTATGGGCGGAAACGCTCGGCGCGGAGGACATCGGCGCTCTGCTGCAGGCGGAGCTTTGCGGGGACTCATTTACTGGGCGGAGCGTGGTGGCGGAAGGGGAGGGTTCGGCGGAAGCTGAGGGGCCGTTGGATGACCTTTGCGCGGATGCTGTGCTGCACGCGCAGTGCTTTGCGGACGAGGCGGAGATTGGGGAGAAGCTTGAAGTGGAGGAGCGGGAAGCTGCGCAGTGGGATGTGGCGGGTTTGGGGATGTGGTGCTGGGAGGAGCGCTTGGTCGCTTGCTAGTGTTTCGGCGGAAAGCGCGCGCACAAGTTTTTAGCTGGTCATGGGAAACTAACCTTGTAGCTCATATCGAAGGTAGCTCATATCGAAGGGAGCTTACAGCGGAGGACATTCCGTTCTGCCGATTTTCCCAAGGCGCAAGCGCAATTTGTGCTGCGACCTTGCGGCGAGAGGTGTACAGTATGTACTACTACTAGTATAATGCTAACCACTGACATAAGCTGAGGAGACTAACCATAGCAGCTTTAACAACTCTTTATTGCGGTGTAATTATCTCATCTCATGGTTCACGTTGTTAGAAGGTTTGGCCAGAAGAATAATAATGGTTTTGCAAGCATTTACTAGCCTTATTGTATTGTCAGTAGCTGTAATCACACTTTAGGGCACTTTCAGGGGGCATGTCACGAAAGCCTCATGTCTCAAATGATTAGATACAGTGCAGTGGAAATTATTGCAATTTACGATGGGTGCCATGCAGTGCAGAATGGTACACTGCCTTCGTGATGCTTGACTGGACTCTTGAGTATACTTCCCTGCCCTTTTTCATTTACAACTCCTGACAGGTTCAGTGATAAAACCAAGGGGAAAGAAACTAATTGCTTATGTCCACTTTGCCGCCACATGTCATTCAAAGAGAGGACTGCCAGTGCCATACTGCGTGGAGGTCTCTTCCTCCTCGTCGTCCCCATCGCCTCCCTGCGAGCAATGATATGCGAGACAAGGTGTTAGCCATGCACTGTGTGGTTGATGACCATGCAGCCAGCAACACAAGAAATAGACAATGATGGTGTGGTGTGCAATAGCAGTGGGATGCGTGCGGCATGAGTAGTACCGTTCAATAATAGATGGTATGGAACAGCACAGCATGGAGTGTGATGTGGGTATATCATGATGACTTATCATCCCATTGCATGTCATGACTTATCATCCCATTCCATGTCATGACTTATCATCCCATTCCATGTCATGACTTATCATCCCATTGCATGTCATGATAAGTTAGGGATCACCTTTAGAAGTCTGTCGATGCGATTGAGCCCTCTCTTGGCGTTTTCATTGGTCGGGTTGATGCTGACATGGCAGTTTGTGCAGGGGCAAAGAGGTGCATGCAAAAGGCAGCACACTCTCATTGAGATAATGGTTGTGCGCAGGCACAAGACTTAGCATACTGGAGGGTGAATGCATGCGGGTCTGGCATGTTTCAAGCCGGCGTGCTGACATGTGGCGTGCTGACATGTGGCGTGCTGACATGTGGCGTGCTGACATGTGGCGTGCTGACATGTAGCGTGCTGACATGTGGCGTGCTGACATGTGGCGTGCTGACATGTGGCGTGCTGACATGTGGCATGCTGACATGTAGCGTGCTCGAATGCTGGCATGCATACAAGCAGAACTATAACCGGGGAGAGGAAACTGGAAATGGAATCCTGGGCAAGAGATGTCATGGCATGTCATGGGATGTCATGGCATGTCATGGGATGTGTCATGTTTGATCATATGGGACAAAACATGCCACGTCATCATCACCTGAGGGCCGTCTGCAGATGGTGCAGAGCGTCGGGCAGCCGGTTGGCTGCCATGTGGACAAACCCCAGCTTCACGTGGATCCAGTCAGCAGCGTCCACTGCCAGGTGGCGCTCCAGCCTGGTGGTGCACACACGCATGGAGAGGGAGAGGGAGAGGGAGAGGAAGAGGGAGAGGGAGAGGGAGAGGGAGAGGGTGAGGGAGAGGGAGAGGGAGAGGGAGAGGGAGAGGGAGAGGGAGAGGGAGAGGGAGAGGGACAGGGAGAGGGAGAGGGAGAGGGAGAGGGAGAGGGAGAGGGAGAGGGAGAGGGAGAGGGAGAGGGAGAGGGAGAGGGAGAGGGAGAGGGAGAGGGAGAGGGAGAGGGAGAGGGAGAGGGGGGTGGCTGTTACTGGGCGCCTCATATCCTGCACGCACTGCAGCCCGGTGGTATGGAAGGGGAAGGGAAAGGGAAAGGGGTGTGTGAGAGGAAAGGCAAGTCCACACAGGAAAGCACTCACTCGTCCACCACAGCAGCACTGTACTACCTACCACCACAGCAGCACTGTACTACCTACCACCACTCAATGCTCTGCTGCACTGCTTGTCGTGTCAGTAGCAGACAGGTTGGCTGCGGTGGCCTTACTTCCATCAACTCTGAGAGGGAAGCCAAGTCCACACAGGAAAGCACTCACTCGTCCACCACAGCAGCACTGTACTACCTACCACTCAATGCTCTGCTGCACCGATTACGATTTCGCTCATGATTCTCCGAGGACTGCATGCAGAGGAGACAAAATTCATGACACCGTGCTGCCACTCACACGTCAACGGCAGCAGCGTGCCGCCCGTCCGTCCATGCTGTGCTGCTGCCCGTACTGTGCCTTACAACAATCCATCAGGAGAGATTCCGAGGCGTTCGCAGGGGTTCACAAGGGTTTACAGGGGTTCTCAGGATTACCAGCCACTCACACGTCCACGGCAGCAGCATGGCGGCCGTCCATGCTGTGAGCGTCTGCCAGGCCCGTGCTGTGTCTTTCGGGGGTTCATATGCGTTCACAGGGGTCCACAGGGGTCCACAGGAGTCCACAGGGGTCCACAGGGGTCCACACGGATCCACAGGGATCCACAGGGGTCCACAGGGGTCCACAGGGGTCCACAGGGATCCACAGGGGTCCACAGGGGTCCACAGGGGTCCACAGGGGTCCACAGGACCAGCCACTCACACGTCCACGGCAGCAGCATGGCGGCCGTCCATGCTGTGAGCGTCTGCCAGGCCCGTGACAGCAGCACCACAGCGCCCGTCCATCCTCAGTGCCGCCTCAAACACCTTGCGCGCCTGCAACAACAAGGGGGGAGAGTAACAAAGGGGGGAGATCAACAGGGAAGCAACTGGTGTGAAAGTGGCAGCACCACAGCTGCCGTCCAGTCCATCCTCAGTGCCGCCTCAAACACCTTGCGCGCCTGCATGCAGTGGTGCAGGGGGGGAAGGTGGGTGGAGGAGAAGTAACAAGGGGCTAACAAGGGGGAAGCAGCAGCAGGAACAGATGCCGCCACAGCGCCCGTCCATCCTCAGTGCCGCCTCAAACACCTTGCGCGCCTGCAGTGGTGCATGTGTGTGTGGAGGGGAGAGGGAGCGAAGGGGGTGGGGAGATAAGGGCAGGTACAAGAGGGCATCAGCTGATCCCGTGACAGCAGCACCACAGCTGCCGTCCAGTCCATCCTCAGTGCCGCCTCAAACACCTTGCGCGCCTTCAGGGGTGAAGGGGGGAAGGTGGGTGGAGGAGAAGTAACAAGGGGCTAACAAAGGGGAAGGAGCAGCAGGAACAGCTGCGAGGGGCTAACAAGGGGAAGTAACAAGGGGCTAACAAGGGGAAGTAACAAGGGGCTAACAAGGGGGAAGCGGCCGTCTATCTGCAGTGCCGCTTCAAACACCTTGCGCACCTGCAGTGTGTGTGTGCCGGCGGATGTGAGTGGAAGGGGGAACGGCGTGTATGTGTGTGTGCACGCGCGCGCGAGCGCGTGCAAGTGGAGGGAGAGAAGGGAAGGAGGAATTTGCACAAGGCATGAACGACCGTGTGAGATGGCATGAAGAGAACCATGATACACATCGTGTGACTGAGGGTTGAGACACTCAATGGTCCATCATCAGTGCTGCCTCCGTGTCAACTCTCACACCACTTGAAACGAAAGGGACCGTTGAGTCAACAAGAAAACTAAGGAGAAAAAGTTCCAGAAACACGCGGATCAGAAGGAAAAGAGGTAAGGGGCGTGGTTACGTTACCTTGTCCCTGCTGTCGCCGTGCTGCAGATACACCTCCCCCAGAAGAGACAACGCGCTGGCAGAGTTAGGAAACGCCTTGACTGCCTCCCGAGCCGCTGCTATGGCCTCCTTCAGCTTTGGAATGCGCAGGTAGGCTCGGACCAGACCTGGAGGGGAGGTCCGGGGTCCAGCGGGCAGAAAAGGATCGTCAGGCTCGGATCAAGCCGAAGTTGACAGGAGTTGACAGGAGTTGACAGGAGTTGACAGGAGTTGACAGGAGTTGAGAGAGGGAGTTGGTGGAACATAGCCCACCCCGAAAACCACTTCTACTGCGTATAGCCCCCCTCCGACAACCGCTGCTGCTCTTGAAGCACTCTGTTTTTTTTTCAAAAATTTCCCCCAACTACGCTCACAAAATGCCCCTCCCGTATCCACCTTGCAACACGGCACGTCCTGCTATTGCGTGTACGCCCTCCAGAAAATAGCTGCTGCTTTTGAAGGGCCTTAAAGGTATCCTTATATAAGCCCTCTGGAAAATAGCTGCTGCTTTTGAAGCACCTTCAACATTTTTCCCCACCACAACCAACCCCCCCACAACCAACCCCACCACAACCAACCCCACCACAACCAACCCCCCAACCCACACCTTACCCACCTTGGAACACCCGCAGGTCCTGCTTCTTTTCTGTGTTGATGCCTTCCAAAAAATGGCTGCTGTCTGGGTGTAGGCCCCATTCATCTCCTCCCCTACTCCCCGCCGACCCACCACACTTCCCCCCTCTGTACCCACCTTGGAACACCCGCAGGTCCTGCTTCTGTGTGTAAGCTCTCCGAGAAATGGCTGCTGCTGCTGAGGCGCCTCATAACCTTCCCCATCCTCCCCTCCCCCAATGCTACCCCCTCACCTTGGAACACCCGGAGGTCCTGCTTCTGTGTGTAGGCCCTCCGGAAGATGGCAGCTGCTGCAGACGCCACTGCTGCTGATTCCGCCCGCTCGGTTTGCAGCAGAATGGCGCCCTGGTGGGGGTTCGGGGGAGGGAGGGAAAGGTGGGGTGGAGAGGTGTGGAGAGGGGTGGAGTGGGGTGGAGTGGGGTGGAGAAGGGTGGGGTGGATCTGAACGAATGCCTGAGGGGAGTGCTTGGCTTTGGAGCCACTGCTGCTAGCTCTGACTGCTCTGCTTGTAGAAGGATGGCGCCCTGATGGGCGATGGGAGTGGGGGTGGGGGAACGGGGGGAAGAAGAGGGGGAAAGCAGAGGGAGGGGGGTGCGTCTAAGCGCTCTGCTTGCAGCAGAATAGCGCTGATGGGGGATTGGGGTGGCGGAACAGGGGGAAGCAGGAGGGGAACGCAGAGGGGGATACGTAAAAACGCCACTGCTGCTGACTCTGACCTCTCCGCCTGCAGCGGAATGGCACACTGATGGGGATCGAAGGTGGTGCGGCCGTGGGGGGGAATGGGGGTTGGGTGGGGTGACGCGACTGCTTGAAATCTGAGCCACTGCTGCTGACGCTGAGCTCTCTGCTTGCAGCAGAATAGCGCTCTGATGGGGGATGGGGTTGGGGGAAAGGGGGGAAGCAGGGGGGAAAATCAGACGGGGGTACGTCTCAAAACGCCACTGCTGCTGACAGTGACCGCTCGGTTTGTAGCTGATATTTTTGAGTTTCAAAAAAATACCTGCAATGGCACCCTGTTGGGGAATCGTGGGGGGAAGAAGAAGGGAAGGAGGGAGGAAGGGGAACGGTGGGACGTCTCAAAACGCCACTGCTGCTGACAGTGACCGCTCTGCCTGCAGCGGAATGGTACACTGGCGGGGATTGCAGGTGGTGGGGGCGTGGGGGGAAACGGGGGTTGGGGTGACGCGAATGCTTGATATTTGAGCCTCTGCTGCTGACTGTGACCTCTTCGCCTGCAGCACAATGGCGCCCTGATGGGGGGTTCGGGGGAAGGGGGGGAAGCAGGCGGGGGGGAATGCAGAGGGGGGGTATGTCTCGAAACCTCCCTGCTGCTGACAGTGACCGCTCTGCCTGCAGCACAATGGCGTCCTGATGGGGACGGAGAGGGGAGGAGAGAGGACGAAGGAGGGACGGATGCATTGAAAAGTCTGAAGAACCAACAAGTGCACATGGCATGAAGAGAGAGGGAGTTGGCTTTTGAGAATTCTCAAAAGGGACGGATGCATTGAAGAAGTCTGAAAACCAACAAGTGCACATGGCATGGAGAGAGAGGGAGTTGGCGTTGTGTGTAGCGTGGCAGTTCATATCAAAATAACGCGGCGATGAAAGGATGAGAAGGTGAGGGGGAGAGAGGGATTGTAAGGTGGGAAGGGGGAGGAGGGAGGGGAGAGTGGGGAGGGAGAGGAGGGTGGGGAGGGTGGGGAGGGAGGGAAGGTTGGGGAGGGTGGGGGGGTGGGGAGGTTGGGGAGGGAGGGAAGGGTGGGGAGGGTGGCGTAGGCGCACCTTAGCGAGGAGAGCTGGGAAGTGATGGTCGTCCAGTTGAAGCGCCTGGGGGCGGACGCAAGGAGGAGGAAGGCGGGAGGGGGTGGGAGGGGGTGGGACGGGAGGGAAGGGAGGGAGGAGTGCAAAGGCAAGAGGAGGAAGGCGGGTGAGGAGAGCAGGGAAGTGATGGTCGTCCAGTTGAAGCGCCTGGGGGTGGACGTGGGGAGGGAGAGGGCAGGAGAGGAGGGAGGGAGAGGGCGGGAGGAGTGGCAGGTAAGAGGATAAGATGGGCGAGCAGAATGGGGGAAATGGGCGCACAGAGCAGAATGGGGGAAATGGGCGCATAGAGCAGAATGGGGGAAATGGGCGCATAGAGCAGAATGGGGGAAATGGGCGCATAGAGCAGAATGGGGGAAATGGGCGCATAGAGCAGAATGGGGGAAATGGGCGCATAGAGCAGAATGGGGGAAATGGGCGCATAGAGCAGAATGGGGGAAATGGGTGCATAGAGCAGAATGGGGGAAATGGGTGCATAGAGCAGAATGGGGGAAAGCTGGAAAGTGGTGGTCGTCCCATCGAAGAGCCTGGGGGTGGACGGGTGGGGGGACGAAGGTAGGTGAGGGGCATGAGGGGGCGAGGAGGAGCGTGAGAGAGATGGGAGTGTGACAAAGATGGGATCACGAAACACAGCCGCCACGTCCTCATACATACGCCACGTCCTCATACAGCCGCCCAGGATACTCATAAATACCTTATCCACATATGCCAGTGCACTGCCTCTTTCCCCCCGGCTCATCCACAGTGCTGCCGCCACCACCCACGCCTCCACCCTCCCTGCCCTCCCTTCATCTATACAACCACCCACCCATTCACCCACCTTATCCACATATGCCAGTGCACTGCCTCTTTCCCCCCGGCTCATCCAAAGCGCGGCAGCCACCACCCATGCCTCCACTCTCCCCGCCCCCACTCCCACCATCTCCGCTGTCAGCCTCCTCAGCTCCGCCCCCCCCGCTCCCCCCGCCCCCCCCGCTGCTCCCCCTCCCCCCACGCTGGCGTCGACTTGCAGGTTGGGGAGGGAAAGGGCGGAGGAGGCGGAGGGGGAGCGGCGGGAGAGGAGGAGCAGAGCGTAGTCGTCCATGCAGGCCACGTTGAAAGGGTCTAGAGCGCGGGCCTGGGGGTTGGAGGGGAGTAGGGATGGAAGGTGGGATGAGAGATGAGTGACAACAAGGAGAAGGAGACAAGTGACAGCAGCAGCAGAGCATAGTCGTCCATGCAGGCCGCTTTGAAAGGGTTTAGGGTGCGGGCCTGGGGGGGGGTTGGAGGGGGTAGAGATGAGAAGGTGGAATGAGATGAGCGAGCGACAGCACCACCGCCAGCAGCACCAGCGTCAGAAGGGCATAGTCGTCCATGCAGGCGACATTGGATGGGTATAGGGTGCGGGCCTGTGGGGGGAAGGGGGTAGGAATGATGAGAAGGTGGGATGAGATGAGCGGCAGCAGCAGCAGGGAGCAGCGGGAGAGGGAAAGCATAGTCGTCCATACAGGCCACGTTGAAAGGGGTCTAGGGTGCGTGCTTGTGGGGGAAGGAGCAAGAAGGGGGCTGCTATTGCTGCTGGTGGAATGGGAGGGAATGGCGATTGGGACAAGTGGCACAACAGCCAAGGAGAAATGTCAGAACATCGGACGGAATCAGTTGCAGGGAAAGATGCGAGCTGAAGGGAAACAGAAAGAAAAAAACATTTTGTTCTCGGAGTGACTATAACGAGAGCACCTTTTGGTAGTGTAGCATGGCCTCCTCATTGCGACCCTGCGACGCCTCCACCTGATGGGAATGCGAGAAGCACAGCAGAGGGCATGGCACAGGGCACGACACAAGAATGCAACTCTTGCTTTTGGGCTGCAGGCTGCATGGCATGGCATGATACAGCAGTACGAACTGGGATGGGTTGGGGCTAAGTGAGTGGGCGAGTGTGAGTGGGCGAGTGTGAGTGGGCGAGTGTGAGTGCAGGTGCGGGTGCACGTTGCTGACAAATCGAATCGAGGCAGCATAGGAGGTCCCTCACTCACCTCCCTCACTCACCTGCCCATATGCATGTGCAGGGAGCTCAACTGAAGGTCACTCGCTCAACTGAAGGTCACTCACGCACCTGCCCCATGTGCAAGTGCAGGTAGCTCAACTAAATGTTTTTCTCTCACCTACCCCATGTGCATGTGCAGGTCACTTCCTCACCTGCCCCATGTACAGGTGCAGATGCACGTTGCTGGGGAAGCGAGTCAACAGCTGCTGATACTCGTCCACACAGGCTGTGGTGCCATGGGGTGAGGGGCGGGGTGGGGAGGCAGAGATTATGGGCATGGGAGATCGTGACAGCGGTGACGGTGGGGGGGTTGACGGGTGAGGGGTATGAGATATTTCAACCAGCTACTACAGTGTGGCCGGCGGGAGAATTATGGACATCAAAGTTAAGATTGACCAGTGGGACACGCATGTTGATCCAGTAGCAGTGGGACTTGTATCCGTGACTTGGCGGAGAAAGGCTCTCAAAACAAACATGAATGAAAGAGTATGTCCTATGTGCAGTCAACTGCATAGTGTATGTACTGCTGTGTTCCTTACATTTATCATCTGCCTGCACGCATGTGTTACTAAGTTACTTGCTCCCTGTTCTCACCTGCGTTCTCATTGGCTGCTCGGTGTGCCTGTGCCTCCACATACTTCTGCTCACCCATGCATGCATACAGGCACACGCACACATACGAATGCATGCTCCCCCATGCATGCAATCATTCAGGCACCCATACCCATGCATGCAATCATTCAAGCACCCATACCCATGCATGCAATCATTCAAGCACCCATACCCATGCATGCAATCATTCAAGCACCCATACCCATGCATGCAATCATTCAAGCACCCATACCCATGCATGCAATCATTCAAGCACCCATACCCATACACGCACCCATACACGCACCCATACACGCACCCATACACGCACCCATACACGCACCCATACACGCACCCATACACGCACCCATACACGCACCCATACACGCACCCATACACGCACCCATACACGCACCCATACACGCACCCATACACGCACCCATACACGCACCCATACACGCACCCATACACGCACCCATACACGCACCCATACACGCACCCATACACGCACCCATACACGCACCCATACACGCACCCATACACGCACCCATACACGCACCCATACACGCACCCATACACGCACCCATACACGCACCCATACACGCACCCATACACGCACCCATACACGCACCCATACACGCACCCATACACGCACCCATACACGCACCCATACACGCACCCATACACGCACCCATACACGCACCCATACACGCACCCATACACGCACCCATACACGCACCCATACACGCACCCATACACGCACCCATACACGCACCCATACACGCACCCATACACGCACCCATACACGCACCCATACACGCACCCATACACGCACCCATACACGCACCCATACACGCACCCATACACGCACCCATACACGCACCCATACACGCACCCATACACGCACCCATACACGCACCCATACACGCACCCATACACGCACCCATACACGCACCCATACACGCAACCCATACACGCACCCATACACGCACCCATACACGCACCCATACACGCACCCATACACGCACCCATACACGCACCCATACACGCACCCATACACGCACCCATACACGCACCCATACACGCACCCATACACGCACCCATACACGCACCCATACACGCACCCATACACGCACCCATACACGCACCCATACACGCACCCATACACGCACCCATACACGCACCCATACACGCACCCATACACGCACCCATACACGCACCCATACACGCACCCATACACGCACCCATACACGCACCCATACACGCACCCATACACGCACCCATACACGCACCCATACACGCACCCATACACGCACCCATACACGCACCCATACACGCACCCATACACGCACCCATACACGCACCCATACACGCACCCATACACGCACCCATACACGCACCCATACACGCACCCATACACGCACCCATACACGCACCCATACACGCACCCATACACGCACCCATACACGCACCCATACACGCACCCATACACGCACCCATACACGCACCCATACACGCACCCATACACGCACCCATACACGCACCCATACACGCACCCATACACGCACCCATACACGCACCCATACACGCACCCATACACGCACCCATACACGCACCCATACACGCACCCATACACGCACCCATACACGCACCCATACACGCACCCATACACGCACCCATACACGCACCCATACACGCACCCATACACGCACCCATACACGCACCCATACACGCACCCATACACGCACCCATACACGCACCCATACACGCACCCATACACGCACCCATACACGCACCCATACACGCACCCATACACGCACCCATACACGCACCCATACACGCACCCATACACGCACCCATACACGCACCCATACACGCACCCATACACGCACCCATACACGCACCCATACACGCACCCATACACGCACCCATACACGCACCCATACACGCACCCATACACGCACCCATACACGCACCCATACACGCACCCATACACGCACCCATACACGCACCCATACACGCACCCATACACGCACCCATACACGCACCCATACACGCACCCATACATCCACCCATGCACACACCCATACACAGAAGTAGGGGTTAGTATGCTACAGTCACCACCTTATACAATCACTACCTGATAGACTCACTACCAGATATTGTGACTATCTGATACACTCACAATTATAATCACAACCTGCTACAGTCACTCTACCTAGGAAAGTCACTCTACCTGATACAATAAACACCTGATACATTCACTGCCACAAACAGTCAACAGGCATTACCTGATACAGTCACTACCTGCAGCCACTTGCAAGACTCGTGCACTTCTCCTGTTGCTCCGGCCTTGCTGCCCCCTCTGCTGCTGGGTGTGCAGGGGAGGGGCTGGGGGGAGGGATGTGGTGCGGAGGATGGAAAGGACGGGAAGAGCAGGGGGGGTTGGCGGGGGGATGGCGATAGCATGAAGTGGGAACGAGGTGCCTTGCTGCCCTGCCTCCTCTGCTGCTGGGCGTGCAGGGAAGGGGCTGTTGAAGAACGAGGTGGGGAGGATGGGGAGGATGGGGAGGATGGGAGGGTGGGGAGGGTGGAGAAGATGGGGAGGGCACGGAGAGAAGGGGAGGGTCGGGGGGACGAGTGCGGCTTGTACTTGGTGGGGTGCTAGAGACCCTCCTCCTAGTGGTGCGAGTGTGGTAACTTGTGAGCCAGCTCGAAACGAATCAACACTCAAGAGCAGGGTCCATAGGAACAAAGAACTGCTTTTTGAGAATTCTCAAGAAACACACTCAAGAGCACGGCCCAGAGGAACCAAGAAGAAGTAGAAATCTATAGGCCGAAAACGGTTACCGCCATTTTTCACAAATTGTTTTAAGCAAACAAAATACCTAATTTAACTAGTACTAAGTCGCTGCCACGTAAAGATAATGGCTCCAACCTGGGGCTCCATCTGACGAATTAACACTCAAGAGCAGGGCCGAACCAAGAACTAGAAATCTGTTCTTCTGGTGAAATAGAATGAAGAATCACCTCCTGCTGCGGCAGCAGGGCGCACGTCACTATGGCCGACAACCCCAGCTGGTTTTGAGGTGCCAAAAAATGGACTTCTAGTGGTGCCAATTGCAGCTGCAGCGACACCAGACAAGGACTCACCTCCTGCTGTGGCAGCAGAGCGCATGTCTCTTTGGCTGACAGCCCCAGCTGTTTCAGAGGCGCCTCAGAAACTAGACTGCTTTTCCGGACAATGGCTCACCTCCTGCTGTGGCAGCAGGGCGCATGTCTCTTTGGCTGACAGCCCCAGCTGACCCACTGCTGTCACTGCCTCCATTGCGAATGGACACTGCCTGGTGGTGTAAAGGGGTGAAGAGGTGTGTGAAGGAGTGGAAAGGAGTGAGTGGTCGGCACAGAGGAGTGCGGCTTGCGGACAGCCTGAGCTGACCCACTGCTGTCACTGCCTTCATGGCAAACGGACACTGCCTGGCGGTGTGGAAGGGTCAAGAGGAGTGTAGAGGAGTTATGGATGGTTTCTGTATGGCACAGATGAGTCTGGCTTTGTGGACAGCCCCACCTGCGCCACTGCTGTCACTGCCTTCATGGCAAACGGACACTGCCTGGCGGTGGGTTGGGGAGGGTCATGAGGAGCGCGGGGATGTGAAAGGGATGAAGGGTGTGGGATGCATGGGAGAGGAGGAACTAGCGGACACCTGAAGCAGCCGTGGTCACCTGAGGCACTGCAGGCACGGCACTGCAGTGGTCACCTAGTTTACTGGCAGCACCTGAGGCACTCCTTGTAAGCAGTGAGGGCAGCACGGTCGTAGCTGCTGGAGCGGTAGGGAGGCATGACTAGAGTGCAGCTAATTCACTGGCAGAAGCAACACGCACCTGAGGCATTCCTTGTATGCAGTGAGAGCAGCGCGGTCGTAGCTGCTGGAGCGGTAGAGAGGCACGACTAGAGTGCAGCTAATTCACTGGCAGAAGCAACACACACCTGAGGCATTCCTTGTATGCAGTGAGAGCAGCACGGTCGTAGCTGCTGGAACGATAGAGAGGCACGACTAGAGTGCAGCTAATTCACTGGCAGAAGCAACACGCACCTGAGGCATTCCTTGTATGCAGTGAGAGCAGCACGGTCGTAGCTGCTGGAACGATAGAGAGGCACGACTAGAGTGCAGCTAATTCACTGGCAGAAGCAACACGCACCTGAGGCATTCCTTGTATGCAGTGAGAGCAGCACGGTCGTAGCTGCTGGAACGATAGAGAGGCACGACTAGAGTGCAGCTAATTCACTGGCAGAAGCAACACGCACCTGAGGCATTCCTTGTATGCAGTGAGAGCAGCGCGGTCGTAGCTGCTGGAACGATAGAGAGGCACGACTAGAGTGCAGCTAATTCACTGGCAGAAGCAACACGCACCTGAGGCATTCCTTGTATGCAGTGAGAGCAGCGCGGTCGTAGCTGCTGGAACGATAGAGAGGCACGACTAGAGTGCAGCTAATTCACTGGCAGAAGCAACACGCACCTGAGGCATTCCTTGTATGCAGTGAGAGCAGCACGGTCGTAGCTGCTGGAACGATAGAGAGGCACGACTAGAGTGCAGCTAATTCACTGGCAGAAGCAACACGCACCTGAGGCATTCCTTGTATGCAGTGAGAGCAGCACGGTCGTAGCTGCTGGAGCGATAGAGAGGCACGACTAGAGTGCAGCTAATTCACTGGCAGAAGCAACACGCACCTGAGGCATTCCTTGTATGCAGTGAGAGCAGCACGGTCGTAGCTGCTGGAACGATAGAGAGGCACGACTAGAGTGCAGCTAATTCACTGGCAGAAGCAACACGCACCTGAGGCATTCCTTGTATGCAGTGAGAGCAGCACGGTCGTAGCTGCTGGAACGATAGAGAGGCACGACTAGAGTGCAGCTAATTCACTGGCAGAAGCAACACGCACCTGAGGCATTCCTTGTATGCAGTGAGAGCAGCACGGTCGTAGCTGCTGGAACGATAGAGAGGCACGACTAGAGTGCAGCTAATTCACTGGCAGAAGCAACACGCACCTGAGGCATTCCTTGTATGCAGTGAGAGCAGCGCGGTCGTAGCTGCTGGAACGATAGAGAGGCACGACTAGAGTGCAGCTAATTCACTGGCAGAAGCAACACGCACCTGAGGCATTCCTTGTATGCAGTGAGAGCAGCGCGGTCGTAGCTGCTGGAACGATAGAGAGGCACGACTAGAGTGCAGCTAATTCACTGGCAGAAGCAACACACACCTGAGGCATTCCTTGTATGCAGTGAGAGCAGCGCGGTTGTAGCTGCTGGAACGATAGAGAGGCACGACTAGAGTGCAGCTAATTCACTGGCAGAAGCAACACGCAACTGAGGCATTCCTTGTATGCAGTGAGAGCAGCGCGGTTGTAGCTGCTGGAACGATAGAGAGGCACGACTAGAGTGCAGCTAATTCACTGGCAGAAGCAACACGCACCTGAGGCATTCCTTGTATGCAGTGAGAGCAGCACGGTCGTAGCTGCTGGAACGATAGAGAGGCACGACTAGGGTGCAGCTAATTCACTGGCAGAAGCAACACGCACCTGAGGCATTCCTTGTATGCAGTGAGAGCAGCACGGTCGTAGCTGCTGGAACGATAGAGAGGCACGACTCGAGTGCAGCTAATTCACTGGCAGAAGCAACACGCACCTGAGGCATTCCTTGTATGCAGTGAGAGCAGCGCGGTTGTAGCTGCTGGAACGATAGAGAGGCACGACTAGAGTGCAGCTAATTCACTGGCAGAAGCAACACGCACCTGAGGCATTCCTTGTATGCAGTGAGAGCAGCACGGTCGTAGCTGCTGGAACGATAGAGAGGCACGACTAGAGTGCAGCTAATTCACTGGCAGAAGCAACACGCACCTGAGGCATTCCTTGTATGCAGTGAGAGCAGCACGGTCGTAGCTGCTGGAACGATAGAGAGGCACGACTAGGGTGCAGCTAATTCACTGGCAGAAGCAACACGCACCTGAGGCATTCCTTGTATGCAGTGAGAGCAGCACGGTCGTAGCTGCTGGAACGATAGAGAGGCACGACTAGAGTGCAGCTAATTCACTGGCAGAAGCAACACGCACCTGAGGCATTCCTTGTATGCAGTGAGAGCAGCACGGTCGTAGCTGCTGGAACGATAGAGAGGCACGACTAGAGTGCAGCTAATTCACTGGCAGAAGCAACACGCACCTGAGGCATTCCTTGTATGCAGTGAGAGCAGCACGGTCGTAGCTGCTGGAACGATAGAGAGGCACGACTAGAGTGCAGCTAATTCACTGGCAGAAGCAACACGCACCTGAGGCATTCCTTGTATGCAGTGAGAGCAGCACGGTCGTAGCTGCTGGAACGATAGAGAGGCACGACTAGAGTGCAGCTAATTCACTGGCAGAAGCAACACGCACCTGAGGCATTCCTTGTATGCAGTGAGAGCAGCGCGGTCGTAGCTGCTGGAACGATAGAGAGGCACGACTAGAGTGCAGCTAATTCACTGGCAGAAGCAACACGCAACTGAGGCATTCCTTGTATGCAGTGAGAGCAGCGCGGTTGTAGCTGCTGGAACGATAGAGAGGCACGACTAGAGTGCAGCTAATTCACTGGCAGAAGCAACACGCACCTGAGGCATTCCTTGTATGCAGTGAGAGCAGCACGGTCGTAGCTGCTGGAACGATAGAGAGGCACGACTAGGGTGCAGCTAATTCACTGGCAGAAGCAACACGCACCTGAGGCATTCCTTGTATGCAGTGAGAGCAGCGCGGTCGTAGCTGCTGGAACGATAGAGAGGCACGACTAGAGTGCAGCTAATTCACTGGCAGAAGCAACACGCACCTGAGGCATTCCTTGTATGCAGTGAGAGCAGCGCGGTCGTAGCTGCTGGAACGATAGAGAGGCACGACTAGAGTGCAGCTAATTCACTGGCAGAAGCAACACACACCTGAGGCATTCCTTGTATGCAGTGAGAGCAGCGCGGTTGTAGCTGCTGGAACGATAGAGAGGCACGACTAGAGTGCAGCTAATTCACTGGCAGAAGCAACACGCAACTGAGGCATTCCTTGTATGCAGTGAGAGCAGCGCGGTTGTAGCTGCTGGAACGATAGAGAGGCACGACTAGAGTGCAGCTAATTCACTGGCAGAAGCAACACGCACCTGAGGCATTCCTTGTATGCAGTGAGAGCAGCACGGTCGTAGCTGCTGGAACGATAGAGAGGCACGACTAGGGTGCAGCTAATTCACTGGCAGAAGCAACACGCACCTGAGGCATTCCTTGTATGCAGTGAGAGCAGCACGGTCGTAGCTGCTGGAACGATAGAGAGGCACGACTCGAGTGCAGCTAATTCACTGGCAGAAGCAACACGCACCTGAGGCATTCCTTGTATGCAGTGAGAGCAGCGCGGTTGTAGCTGCTGGAACGATAGAGAGGCACGACTAGAGTGCAGCTAATTCACTGGCAGAAGCAACACGCACCTGAGGCATTCCTTGTATGCAGTGAGAGCAGCACGGTCGTAGCTGCTGGAACGATAGAGAGGCACGACTAGAGTGCAGCTAATTCACTGGCAGAAGCAACACGCACCTGAGGCATTCCTTGTATGCAGTGAGAGCAGCACGGTCGTAGCTGCTGGAACGATAGAGAGGCACGACTAGGGTGCAGCTAATTCACTGGCAGAAGCAACACGCACCTGAGGCATTCCTTGTATGCAGTGAGAGCAGCACGGTCGTAGCTGCTGGAACGATAGAGAGGCACGACTAGAGTGCAGCTAATTCACTGGCAGAAGCAACACGCACCTGAGGCATTCCTTGTATGCAGTGAGAGCAGCACGGTCGTAGCTGCTGGAACGATAGAGAGGCACGACTAGAGTGCAGCTAATTCACTGGCAGAAGCAACACGCACCTGAGGCATTCCTTGTATGCAGTGAGAGCAGCACGGTCGTAGCTGCTGGAACGATAGAGAGGCACGACTAGAGTGCAGCTAATTCACTGGCAGAAGCAACACGCACCTGAGGCATTCCTTGTATGCAGTGAGAGCAGCACGGTCGTAGCTGCTGGAACGATAGAGAGGCACGACTAGAGTGCAGCTAATTCACTGGCAGAAGCAACACGCACCTGAGGCATTCCTTGTATGCAGTGAGAGCAGCGCGGTCGTAGCTGCTGGAACGATAGAGAGGCACGACTAGAGTGCAGCTAATTCACTGGCAGAAGCAACACGCAACTGAGGCATTCCTTGTATGCAGTGAGAGCAGCGCGGTTGTAGCTGCTGGAACGATAGAGAGGCACGACTAGAGTGCAGCTAATTCACTGGCAGAAGCAACACGCACCTGAGGCATTCCTTGTATGCAGTGAGAGCAGCACGGTCGTAGCTGCTGGAACGATAGAGAGGCACGACTAGGGTGCAGCTAATTCACTGGCAGAAGCAACACGCACCTGAGGCATTCCTTGTATGCAGTGAGAGCAGCACGGTCGTAGCTGCTGGAACGATAGAGAGGCACGACTCGAGTGCAGCTAATTCACTGGCAGAAGCAACACGCACCTGAGGCATTCCTTGTATGCAGTGAGAGCAGCGCGGTTGTAGCTGCTGGAACGATAGAGAGGCACGACTAGAGTGCAGCTAATTCACTGGCAGAAGCAACACGCACCTGAGGCATTCCTTGTATGCAGTGAGAGCAGCACGGTCGTAGCTGCTGGAACGATAGAGAGGCACGACTAGAGTGCAGCTAATTCACTGGCAGAAGCAACACGCACCTGAGGCATTCCTTGTATGCAGTGAGAGCAGCACGGTCGTAGCTGCTGGAACGATAGAGAGGCACGACTAGGGTGCAGCTAAT